TTCAAAAAGCAAAACCACAAAATGATAGTATTCTTGTGCGTGGTTATGAATATGCTACAAGTCCTTAAAAAAAAGTACATATAGTACTTAAAGTCTATGTAAAGGTATATAAATAGATTTATTTATTATTTTAGTATGATTTAGTGAATCTTGCTATTTTATAATTTGGTAGATCTGTTATCCCTTCTTTTATTTATATTTTAAATTGGTTATTGTTATATTTAATTAGTTCTTTTTGTATATGGTATGTTAGTGGACGCTGGAACATAAACGATCTTAACTTAATGTCTCTTGTGTCCAAGAAGTACGAGTATTAGCATTCGCTCGGGCTGCTTTTAATAAATCTGCTTTTCGCCAAATCCAAAATTGCGTCAATAATTAATAAAATATTCTTTGTTGATATATTGATGATGTTGCCTAATGTATATTCTGCCTGAGGCCGAGAGAGATGCTGCTGGCGGCCGCCATTGTTCCGCTCACACCGACTATACATTGAGTGCGCGCTTGATTAACACTTCAAAAACGAAGGTTTACTATAACAATAAGGATCCCTTTTGAATAAGATCATGCAAGTACATCCGAATCGGGATAATTTTCAGAGCGGATACGATGATACTCTGGATAAAATTCAGCTGTCAGCCGTGCCTGCACGAAAACGGGCATATTACGTACTGGGCTCGACCAACTTATGCTCTAAACTTTGTCAACCACCAACTTTACTCGTCGGCGTTACCACCTTTCGGACTATCACCACAGGCTATGGGATTTTCTTTTCCGTCGTTGAGAAATTGTGAAATACGAAATCTCAGGAATAATTACGAGAAATGTGGAGGGTTGATCTTTCTCTGGAAATATGATAAATTCTAGGACGAGCAATCTTCTTTAAACGAGAGTATGTTGCTTGTGTTTTCTCTGAGGGAATTGGAAAATGTATATTCTTCTAGACAGGCAAAAGCTCGACAGTATCATCCTATCGGCCTTTCTTGACCGGAGTGTGAGATTCTCCAAAAATATATACTCGTTAAGTCACCTCAGTCTGTTTCTACTCATCTCACCAGTGTAATACTTACAACGGTACCTATTAGTACCTATTAGTTATACCTTTCTCTATAGTTCATATACATTTTTACGTAAAGAACCCAGTAAACTGAAACCTGCTACTAGTTCCATGATCTGCTTTTGCCATTACGCACGCTGCTCCGCAGCATCTGCCTTTTTGGTTAGATGGCAGGAGAAGTGAGATGCAATTGGTCCATAGTTCATGAACTAAAAGGCAGCTCTTTTCATCTTTTGAAACCTACATGGAGTGCGCAGGGAAGAGAGAGAGTACGTGAACTGCATATATTGCAGCCACAAAAAGGATACCCCTGATCTTCTACTCGACCGTGGTAGATGGGTTGACTACCAGAGACAGCTAGGATTAGCGCTTAACGAGAAACTCACTGCTGACAATTTTGCATGTTAGCGAAGGGTTAGTATTCAACCGATAGTGAGGCGGAAATTGTATGTGAACGTCCAAATACATCATAGGGTTGGGTATCTTCGAGAATACGTTAAACAATTATACACACACCATACCATTCTATAGTTAATCATATAACTAGCTGCACTGACGTATCCAGAGGGCGGATCCAGTCCTTGAACAAGGAGCAGTCATTTAATCACACTGTATTATATAAGAAATACTATATTAAGCCGTGAGGTCCCAAAGCCCTCCTCCCCCCTGAATGCGTCAGTGACTAGTAAGGAAATGCAACTGATTGGGCATATTGTAGTTCACATGTGACCTTTCTCAACAAAGAGTCGGTTTGTAGACAGCAACAGGGTTGCGTTATTACTGTACGGCCAGCTTTACCTCAGGCAAGAACGGTCACACCGTAAACATCTAATCGCCCTGTATAGGGCACTGATAGCAGCTGTCCCGTAATTTCGATCCAGAAAATTTTTTAAACGAAAAGCGAGATAACCGAGGTATTTACTAAGTCGCTCAAAACCGGAAAGCGTGAACAAATCCCACACATTCATGGTCCTGGAGGCATTGTCTTCAGGACAGAGGAGAAGGTTGAGGTTTTCGCCGATGCCATGGAAAGACAGTTCTCTCCCAACTATGATCTTGATAATGACCGCGACGAGGAGCAATACATCGTAAGATCTGTCAGGAGATATTTTAGGGCCAGTCGCGCTATCATTGGTGATTTTTCTTCACCAGAAGATTCTTCTTCAGAAGCTTCTTCAACTTAAGATCTGCTTAGCACATCAGCGGCATCTCCTCAGATCGCGCGTTGCGCACCAGCAGAGATTCAAGGTCATATTAAAGACCTTAAAGTGCTTAAAGCACCTGGGGAGGATCAAATCACTAATAAGGCGCTGAAGCTGCTTTCGCGGAAGTGCTTAACTTATCTCGTGGCAATAGTCAATGCCATGCTAAGGATCCAGTACTTTCCGTCCGCGTGGGAGACCGCTGAAGTTATAATGATTCCAAAGAAGGTGGGTTCGATATTTCCCCAGGATTATCTTCCCATTAGCCTGCTGTCATCTCCGTCTAAGCTCGCTGAAAAGGTGATTCTACGTCATCTTGAGAATTTCTCGTCAGATTACCATGTGATTCCTGACGTGCAATTCGATTTTCGGTCTCAACATAGTACGGAGCTACAGGCGGTTAGGCTGGTGAAACGTGTAACCAGAGGATTCACCCTTAACGAAAGTACTGGCATCTTGCTTTTGGATGTCTCAAAAGCATTTGACAAGATGTGGCACGCGGGCCTCTTGTATAAACCTTTTTGGCTTCTAAAACTACTGAAATCCTTCCTTGAAGGTAGGAAACTTCGGATCAAAATAGACAATGTCGTGTCGACAACACGGCTGATTACAGCCGGCGTCCCTGAGGGTTCGGTCCTTGGACCTATCCTTTACTCACTGTACATCCATGACGTCCCTAGTCCCAGCAACTGTGAAGTCTATCTCTATGCTGACGATACTGCATTGGTGGCTCAGTCGTGGTCTGGTGACCTAGTCCATGACAGGTTGCAAAGTGCGGTGGAGGAAGTATTAGATTGGTCGGATCGGTGGCTAATTAAAATAAAGCATTCGAAAACGCAGGCAATCTACTGTACAAAAAGACGTCGCCGCGTTCCGTCTGAAGTTTCAATTAATGGACTTCGTATACCCTGGGAATCCTCCGCAAAGTATCTCGGTGTCCTTCTGGACAAATGTATGACTTGGCGGAACCGTATAAAAGCGCTAAAAACTAAATTCCAAATTACGTTTCGACAGCTTTACCCATTATTATGTAAACGTTCAAAATTAAGTTTGATTAACATAATTCGACTCTATAAGGTGGTCCTAAGTCCAGCAATGACTTACGCATGTGCGGCTTGGTGTTTTATTGCTAAAAGACACTTGCGAAATCTGCAGGTTCTGCAAAGCAGGACGTTGCGCACTATTGCTGATGCGCCATGGTATGTCTCTAGCGAAACTCTACATTGAGACCTCGATGTCCCTTACCTAAAGGACTACATTAAGCAACAGGCGCAGCGGTGCTATAGCCTAGCGGAATCGCACAGCAACCCTCTGTTGCGTGAGTCAGTGGACTACACAGTCGAGCAAGTTCGCAAGCACAAAAGGCCACGGCTCGCACTGTAATCAAAATTAACTCGTGTACTTAAAACAACCAAAATTGGAGCATTTTTACACAATCTTTAGAAAAAATGAAATATTTTTAGACCATATCAAAATCTGTTAAGTGATTTTAACAATGCCTAAACGCTGCCTATCCTAAAAGATTCTCTTCTTTCCATTTGCTCTCGTTCTTCCTCCACTCCTTTCCTTCCCTTTTTTTCTTAAAATTCTCTGGTTTCTGGGTTACCAGACCTGACAGACTTACAAACTGGCACTGTGACTCAAGAGCTAAGGTCCCACGGACCGCTCTGACAACCAACGATGACTTGACTTATACCGTAAACATCTACAATGCCGCAAAATTTGAAAACTGCGACGTTTTTGCATTGATAGGCAAAACAAAAGCGCCTACTTGCCGTCCAATGATCCAAAAGGAACGAACTCTTAGCAACACTCATTATCAACTATTCGGTTATAAAATCACCTTTCCTGTGTGTTGGGCCGATTGTTTCACCCCAATAGGAACCTTCGTAAATTATTTGAGGAAACGGTATTCCTTTCAAGATCTCACACATTCTACATAACTTCATTTACAAAGTTGCATTTTCTTACTGATGCGAGGCATAGCCGCTTAAGCGCTCATTTTTGTCTTTCTTAACAGACGGCGTTGATCTGAGTCCGTTTTTGGCTGGAGGACAAGTAATTTTGTTGCTATGATTTTGATTACTGTGTTCGTTGAAACTGACTAAATTGGAATTAGTCAACAATTCGAACATTTTTAATTGGCAATCTGTCTGTTTCTATCCTCCAGTCACACATGTGAGATCATATGATAATGATCTCTAGGTGATAGATTAATTCGTTTCGGGTAGTTAGGATCCGTAAAGAAGTTTACGTTTTCTATTAGGTTCAGTTCCCAAATGATTGTAGATCATAGCATTTCTTGGACCTAAACTATTTAATCAGTCACGTACTATTTAATTTCTTAAATAGTATATAATAATAAAATAAATTTGCAATATTTACAGTACGATGGAGTAGTGAAATATCACTTATTTTGTCTATTTAAGAATATGGTCGCTTGAACAAAATATATATACCTATTATATACTCATAAGAAAATGTAAATTTTGCTTAATAATTACATATAACCTAACCGTGAGAGAATCGTGTTTGTACAATTACATCACAAAATGTATAGCTAATTATTAGTTTGGTTTAGTGTACAAGTGAATAAAACAGTTTTTAATATTCCGGTTTTATTTATTGAAACAACCAGTCACAATGCAAAAATCTAGAAATTCGCATCAAACTGGATGAAATAAACAGCTCTTTCTTGCCTTCATTATTTTTTCTATGTTAGTATTTTCTTTATATCTTAGGCTACACTCGGTGAGCTTGAACAGTCAGTAGGTAAGAAAAAATAAGAGAACCATAGTTTAACACCACTCGTGCTAATCATGAAGTTCCGACACATAATAAGAAGTAGAGAAAGTTGTTTAAAACATCTTTTTGCAATCTTTATGGAAATTTCAAACGATACCAATGATCTCCTCATGTTGCTAATAAATGATACCGCAAAACTAGAAAATGTTCATGATGTTTGGGTTACCACGACACCTTTTTCAAAATACGATATCACAGTCTGAGAAATATTGAACTCAAAATACTACAATAGAACTAATGTCCTCACACTCTCGTTAAAAAGACCTAATAGACTTTTCCATCGTAACTAATAGACCATGAAAATTTTTGGCTTGTTATTAGATCTCTAATGCTCAAAGCCAAAGTGTTTTATATTATTCCCTTACTAGACAAGCAGCATGGTTCCCTTTAGATGTCAAAGTACTATTTCTCGCATTGCAGATTCATAAACAAGAGACATGTGGAACTTTAGTCGAATATTGCATAACAATTGACCGGCGTGTTACAAGAACAGTTCTGAGTGGGTTTTCGCGTTTTTTGATGATTTTTGGCGTTTTCGGGACGATGGACGAGGGTAACTTGTCACTGTCATTAAAACAATGTCAGATAACTTCAAGCTCGCTTGTCGTCTTGGAAGGCTGGACGTTCGCTTGGGAACCTACCTCAGACTGTCCTTAGTTTTGTTAGTTTTGTATGGTGCCAACCTAAAATTCCAATTTGTTTGCGGCTTCACGGTATACGGGAACAATTTGTTGCAATCCGAAAAGCCGAAAAGTTAAATGACTGTCTGTTGACTCTTCAAATTAAATCAAATAACTGTCTTATATTGTGTAAAAGCTGTAAATAAACATTTTCATCATTAACTGTGACACAATCTAAATTTTAGAGCGAAATAGATTCTACGTACCTCACAAGACTAAAGCGAATGACAGTCTTTCTGTCTGGCATTATTTTTGGCAAGCAGAAACAGGACACGCTACAGCAAAATGCACCATTTGTTCAACGGTAATGAAGACAACCAACAGCAATACAAAAGGTTTGCTAGATCACTTGAAATCGAAGCACAAAATTGATCTCAAGATCATCCGTCAGAGGCACAAAATGAGTTCTCATCAAGATCCACTCTCCGGGCTAAGCGCCTATGGAATAACAGATAAAAGCTCTTGGTAATGAATGTGTGTTAGACTGTGTCCAGAATAAATAATACAAGAATATTTCCTTATCTTCAGATTCCCATACTTGTGTTGGTTTCTATACATGCGCTCACGTGACGTCAACTCTAAGGCCCGTATCGTCAGTCGTTCCTACAATTGTAGGGCGCGTTTATGGCCTCCTTGATTGTCATACTCCTTTCTCTCCTTCAAAAATTTCTAGATTACACTTGTACCGTGTCAGCGTCAGCGCTCTCCTATTGTGAAGATATGTTTTCTTTTTAAATTATAGGAAATTTCAGGCTGATAAAACATGATATAACTCAAAAGCAAGCACAATTTGATGCAAATAGATGTTTGTGACATAACCTCAAAATAGAGTTCTGACACGGAGAAGTAGAAAACTAAGGTCCTAAGGCCCGTATCGTCAGTCGTCCCTACAATTGTAGGACGCCTTTATGGCCTCCTTGATTGTCATAGTTTTCTACTTCTCCGTGTCGGAACTCTATTTTGAGGTTATGTCACAAACATCTATTTGCATCAAATTGTGCTTGCTTTTGAGTTATATCATGTTTTATCAGCCTGAAACTTCCTACAATTTAAAAAGAAAACATATCTTCACAATAGGAGAGCGCTGACGCTGACACGGGACAAGTGTAATCTAGAAATTTTTGAAGGAGAGAAAGGAGTATGACAATCAAGGAAGCCATAAACGCGCCCTACAATTGTAGGGACGACTGACGATACGGCCCTAAAGTATTTGAAAGAAGTTGGGCCCGTAATGTTAGAAGATTCAATAGCGAATCGTAAGGTTGTCAAGGTTTTAGCGTAAATACAGTTGAGAATTTTAAATTATTGGATGACCACCATCTTGAAACATTTTCGAAATGGATACATGTGATCTATCATTTTGAATCTGTTAATTACCCTGGAATCCAAAATTCTCTATTTTCGAAAGCGGCAAGATGTCGAAGTTGACAATTTTTGGGCTGTAAAAAACGCCATATTGTTTGTTTTATCAATCTTTGCCTTTTAGAATGCCTTGTCTGACTCTGTAGTAAAATATGGAAGTATTCCAATTGAAAAACTGAAAATGTGTCAATTTTTTTAATGGAATGTAGAACATTCCATGTTCAGGTATGCCCATCTAAAACGAAAATATGGATATAAATGTTAGCGTTTAGTTGTAGAAGTTTATGTTCTGAAGTTATAATGTACTCATTAGGAGTATTGCATTACTTTTGAAAAAATATTCTGAGATGGCGGCTGGGCTGGGCGGAATTCTTATGCTACAATGCTTATAGTACTGAAGCCTCAATTTGCAACAGAAAGTGTGCGGAAGAGCTTCAAAGCAAAACTTCGACAAATATCAGAAGACAGACTGGATTTCTGTATAAAAAATGGCGTGAAGTATATTAACTCCGTACGTCCCACGCAACATGGTTCCTAGAGATATGGACGAGTAGTACTAGTCGGGCAACACGGTAGGTCAGACTAGACAGTCGTCATCGAGACGTGCTAATTGGTGAACATATTGTTAGTAAATTGGATTGATTTCATCTTGGCCAGTGTTATAATAAATGTATATTATAATATTTGCTACTTAATAATAGAACGTCTTTCACTAATACCAAAGATGCAATGCAATGCAGTCTCCAGCCTCCATTTGTCAACCCCTCAAAAATTTTGTTCTGAAAATGAGCAGGGGCTTAGAACGTCAAAAAACGAAGCATGGGCGCCCTTAGCTCCGCCGTCGCTGGATCGATTTTCAAATCCTACAAGTCTTTTCCGTGCTTAAAATAGTAGTAATATCGTGGCCTAATGCCTCAAATACCCAACAGTGTTTTTCGAGTTATAGAGGGGCCAAGGATTAGAGGACAGATAGACAGACAGACTAGCGAAAATGAGTGGCGTGATGTCATATCAGATTTTTGAATTTTTTCCAAGGTCACAATAATTCCTCGCCAATTGGCGTGGGAAGTAAAAGAGATCTTAATTACTTTAAAATTATGAGTAACCCCCATTGTCTGATAATGGTTCAGTATCAGATTCGTTTCATGATAAGTGCAAGACGTTCTAATTTTCAAGATGCGAGGTATACATTTACCTATTGCCCTTCTAGGTACAGCAACCTATGTACCACATAAAAAGAATGCCAATGACAGATATTCAGTATGGTACTACTTTCTGCAACAAGAGGGTAGGCCGGTGTCGGCGAAATGTAGACTATGTTCAGGCATATTGAAGACGGCAAATAGTACAACAAGTCCTATGATAACTCACCTTAGTGCCAGACATAATATAGATCTAAGAAGAATTCGTTTGAACAGACTACAACATAATTTTGTTTCTTATAGCTAACATGTTCTATTTTATAAAAAAAGTATTTCTTAAATCTCCTCATTGTAACTACAACTATGAAGTAAAATTTGAAGCGCACATGAAAATGTCGCAAAATATCCTTTTAAAGAGAGTGCTCTAAGTTTTTGTCACCGGTCACTTGTTGAATCAAATACACATATATTTATATGAAACATGCATATTGTATGTTATAAAAATAAAAAATAATCGGTGGCGATATATAGATATTTCAATTTCTTCGCTCTTGAATCTGGAATTTGTAAGACTTAAAAAGGCACCTTTAATGCTTCTTTAAGTACAGAGAATCGGTCAAACGTCTTTTTAGAAATAGAATATTTGTGTAATTCAAAGTCTACAGCCCATTTTGATCTGAAATCAAGATCTGGAACTTGTATCACGTCACTACGACAAATGCCTTCTCTCTTTCGATTCCAAGTTTTTTTGTGTAATGCGTTTGTCTTATTTATTAAAAATGGAATTTTATTTAACATGTGTTTTAGCTACAAGACTGTACATGCCACATAGTAAGAAAGCTAACGACTGTACATCAGTATGGTACTATTTTCTCCAGGAGGAGGGTAGACATACCGCGAAATGTAAAATGTGCTCTGCAATACTAAGAACTACAAACAGCGCTACAAGTTGCTTGCTGAGCCATCTATATATGAAGCACAGCATTGATCTCAGAGCTATGCGACTGTTCTACAGACCAGAGGTTGTTTGGCAACCAAAAGTTGTTTGGGAATAACTTTTATAGTATATATAATATACGTACCGAAGTAGAAAGTAAAAACCGTATGATGATGCAATATTTTACTATAACTTGTGACGGGCCAAGGGTGGCACTTATTCATCCGATGGAGGAAGGAAACTCCTTTTAGATTTATAACTGGCAATGGTGGTATAGTGTTTTTCAAACAAATTCCAAAAGTTGCTTTTTTCGGTCCATACAATTTTTTTAGATTTCTGGGGTCGTTCTGTCTAGAGAAGGTTTTTATAAATTTTTCTAGACTCCGAAAAACGATATCAACAAATTAAAATTTTGATGTCTCCAAAATTCATAAGTATTCCTCAAATACCCTAAACAAATTGCAATAGCATTTTAGAAAGTTTTTCTATTGTGAAGCTATTGTTATTTAATTCCGATGATACATCTCTCTCGGGCGCTTGACTTATAATATTAAAAACAAATATAACAGAAGCAACACCTCCTACAATACTTTTGACTTTTGTTAGTGGATGTTTGAGGAATATTTAGGATCAAACAAACGGGTCCTTCTTGAATAACAGTGTGCAAAAAGCAGCCAGTGTATTTCCCCGAGCACGTGCTAAGATACGTCCCCAGACTGATGAGGTAAGATGCCTGTATGTAAAGGTTTGTCTCAATATGTCCAGCCATAGCATTCGGAAGTTGGTATTTGATTTGTTATCTTTGTTATTTATAAATTGGTATAAATCATATTAATCATGTATCTTGAAAACGCCAATATAGATCAACTTTATCTATCCCCATTGTAACTTCACGTGTTCTATTATTTTTAGGATCAAAAAATTATGTACCACATCAGAAAGCCGGTAAAAGGTCCTCAGTTTGGGCTTACTTCCTACAAGAAGAAGGAGCACGCAAAAGCGCTAAATGCAAAATATGTTCAACTATATTGAAAACGTCGTATAGTTCTACAGGGTGTTTATGGATGCATCTTGCCTATAAACATAACATCAAAAGACAAAAAGAGATTAAATAAATGTAATTACCGATTCTTATCAATGACATACCTATATCCTTTAATCCATTCGTTGACAACGATTACTCTAAAGAGATGTTTGCTCAATAAGGTTGCGAAGTGATCTCACCAGACGGAGATTCACATTTATAAACAATCCTTGAGAATTGATTGAACTTTCCTTTGACATTTAATAAGTAATGACGCTTCCTTGAGGAACGTTGAAGAGGCGATTCAACAGGTGCATCTCACAGTAGGCTTTAACAGTTGTCATCACCGGCTGTCAACCATGTCAGAAAGATTTGCCGATTCTGACGGTATCCAATTAGGAGTTTGATGATAAATTTTGAGCGGTTTGATTTTTTGTGCTGAATTTTAGTCAGTAATGCAAACTTGTAATGAAAGCTGTATGTTTTTGGTATGTATGGCGAATAACAAACCCACAGAGACAAGCTGAATGAATATATGCAACAACATTGCAATAATCTGGGCAATTTTTTACATCTAGATATACAGTTTGAAAATAAGTTTACTCACAATGCGCAAATTAATCGATCGGTTTTCGTAAGAAGCACAATAAATTAAAAATAGAAATAACGTTATCAAAAAACAACTTTTTATAGAGAAGACTACCGGCATTTGTTTAGCTGTTATGTAAGCGCTCCACTTTTGTTAGATATTTTCCCATAATTTTACACATGTACTCTTGATCCTTATTCTCATAGATCCTTACAATCTTATTCCAAACATATGTTTTCTTAGTTTAAACTATTTCCCTAAACTTGACTAGTAACTGAACACCTTTTTTTGTATTTTTTCTCAAATCCACTGTTACTCATTCATATGAAAAACCGTCTATTAATTTGAAGATTGTGAGTGAAATAATTATCAGGGTGTAGAAATACGCTCAAGATGGTTGCCTATATTCTTTCGGCTCCAATTTGTGGATCTGTCATTTGCTATAAATTCGAAAATGCGTGCAATTTTCATTACTACTTTGCATTTCTAGCTAAAATTTAGCACAAAAAACCAAACCATCCATCCATCTTCAAAATGTAAAATAGATACGCTCAGCTAAGATAAAAGATGGTGTCAAGTAGCTTGACTCTGCACTTTTCACGCAACGCCGTCATCAGTTCATAAAAGATTATATGTTCAGCAGAAGTTATACCTCGTTAGGAAATAGTTACGAACATGTATAACAAAGAAATGAAACGGATCAAATCATTCAAACAGGTCCATACAATTAGTCCATAAACACACTTCCCCTGCCCTACCGGTAACGTCGACTGCGATTCCTAACCCGGTCACAGGCGACAGTGCAGCAGTAATTCCAGAACACTTAGCAAGACCGGCGTGCTGCCAGGAGCAGAAGCAGACGCGTATCGTGCCGTCATTGGACCGATTGTCAAAAATCACAAAACCTTTTCCTCCTGGGCAGAGTAGTAACGGAAATGACTGACATTTTTTTCGTGATGTACATGTCACATAACATGCAAAAAGCATAACATCTCATTGTCGAAATGTTTCGCCAGTAGGCGAGGGAAGTAAAAGACACATACATCTACTGTGAAATGCAAACATTAAATCCTTTAACGACATCGACTACTCCCATTCGAGATGTTTGCCGAATAGACTTTGTCAGTCACCTTTTTTTTAGAAAACAGAAACTACGTGCCACATAGAAAAGCAAATGATACCACGTCAGTGTGGTTCTACTTCCTGAAAGAAGATAGCGGACATCCAACAGCAAAATGCAAATTATGTTCTGCGATATTGAGGACGGCATATTGTTCGACCAGGGGCCTGTTGATGCATCTACTCGCCAAACATAAGATTGATTTAAAAGAGATTCGCAGAGCTAACGCACCGTACAATATTAGTCTTTAGACAGAGTAATAAAATGTTTATAAAAAATGAACAAGTTGTATGTATGAAATGTGTAAGGCTTTTACGGTCATCATCTCAAGTATCCAATGTCTTTCGGCTATTAGGCCGTTGGCCGTTATTTTGGACGCTTGATGTTTTACGAGCGGTTGGCATCTTCAGAAGCCCTGTATCGCTTGAAAGGATCCCCCACGCGATTAATTCGCTGCGGTATTCGTGGCGATATATTCTCGCGAAATTCGCTACGAATATTTAAGGGACATTTCATAATAATTATCAAAGCGAGAATATCGCAGTGGATTGACAGTAGACGGTGTGACAGTACCGCTTGTAAACCAAATCAAAATATGTACTCGTCAGATGAAGAAGCAATTCTATTTCTTGCTTTCGAGGAGGGAGAACAAAGTAGGTATGTATATATTTCTTGCAATATCTACGTCTTAGTTAAAAAACATACTTAAACACTTAGAGAAAGGGAAGAAGCAGGTGTGATAAAATTAACTTGGGAAGGAATGTGGGGAACTTCAAACATTAATGTCTGAATTACGCCAAGACGAAAAACGCATATAGTTTTAGTCACCGTTCTTGGCGGGTCAAAGTAAGACTACCATTATTCCTTTATATGTCTTCATCTACCTCATACATACACATGCAACCTACCCCTGTGTGTGCACATTTGTCCGGTAAGCTCAAAGACTTACGTTTTTTAGGTATGTGTTTCTGCCTCGAAAACTTTGTCGTTACGTATGAGTGCTATTGAATCTTATTTTTCAGAGTGACAACTTGACATCGGCGTGCAATTTTAGTTGTCCTGTTATCAATATTCAATATAAAATTGTACAATGCCCGGAAATACGACCAATAGAGAAGCCCGACAGCTCGCGCTAAATTTATTAGAGTATTTCCAGAACGAAAATGAAAGCAGCGGCCCCTGTTGCCCACTTCATGCGTACTGGAGGGACTAGCAGATGTGCTGAAGATTAAGATCCGCCCATGGTACGGAGATTCGATCTGTATACTTATTTCATATGGCGTTGATGACGTAACCGCCAAGAAAGGTGACACATAAATCCGAACACCCAGCTTAAATGGTTTTATTTTAATGAAAGTTGCTGAATGTATTTATCTTACTGTAAATAACAAGTGAAAAAATTTTCAGCCTTATCAGTTGGACATTCCGGTTTTTATACTGCTTTTTTTTAATTCACAAACGCTCTAGAAATGAATATTTCAGCCGCAGTAAAGAATCAGCGTTGGCGGATTTTGGTTCTTGACATCCTTTACGATCGGTTACGATGCCTAGAGTACGGAGACCTGTACGATTTCGTCAACTTAGTGAGTTTGATACGGGCCGTATAGTGGGACTTCTTGAAGCTGGACTTTCTTTTCGGGCAATTGCAGTTAGAGTGCAAAGAAGTGTAGACACTGTGGTTAGGTGTTGTCAGACATGGCTTCGAGAAGGCCGTACGCAAAGAGCAAGGGGCACTGGACGCCGCCGTAGAACAACAGACCGTGAAGATCGCCGCCTAAGATTATTGGCCTTAAGGGACCGTTTCTCCACTACCAGGTCCATTGCAAATGAATGGTTTGCAGAACACGGAAGACCTATTGGCATGCGAAGTGTTTACCGACGAATGAGAAGTTTTGACTTGTTTTCATACCGGCCACACTGGGTCCTCCCTTTAACTCGAGAACACCAACGTAATCGCCTTGAGTGGTGCAGACAACGGTTGCTCTGGGATCAGGAATGGAACAGTATTGTCTTTAGTGACGAGTCCCGATTTTGTTTAGGCATACACCATGGTCGTGCCAGGGTTAGAAGGCGACGTAGTGAAAGGAGGAATCCACAGTTTTTTGTTGAAAGGCATGTTCATCACACTGTTGGAGTTATGGTTTGGGGTGCTATAGCTTATGGTTCCAGGTCACCTTTAATCTTCATCAGATGTAACATGAATGCGCAGCGTTATATCCACGAAGTTCTAGAACCGCATCTTTTACCCTATCTTGACACCCTGGCAGATCCAACTTTCCAACAAGATAATGCCCGACCACATGTTGCAAGAGTCACAATAGACTTCTTTCAACATAATGATGTCACATTGTTACCATGGCCACCAAGATCTCCCGACTTATCCCCAATTGAGCACGTGTGGAATATGATGGGTAGGAGATTGCTCAATTTGCAACGTCCTCCTCAGACTCTAGAAGCACTTCGAGAGGAGTTGGTGGTTGCCTGGAATGAGATACTACAGGAGGGCGTTGACCACCTGATCAGAAGCATGCCTAGGCGCGTTGGAGAATGGTGCATCCACACATTATTAAAGGTAAAGGGCTTTAAAGCAGTGCAATCATTTTGAAATTTTTATCATTTACTTATTATGCTTCATTAAGTACTTATACAAAATTTTATTAAAATAAAACCATTTAAACTGGGTGTTCGGATTTATATGTCACTGAGTATATATATATATTATGAGCAGTGGTCATCGCCAAAGCCAACGACCAGTTCGATACAAAATACAATTAATTGTTAATAGGGAAACAAGTTAATTCAGTATTTTAGTAATTTCGGGTGGAGGTTTACCGATCGTCCCTCGTATTCTTCATACCCAAAGCTGGACAGGGAGGTTTACAGTTCCACGGTCCGTCGCGTCAATCACTTGTCATCTGTCGACGCTTTATCTTTTTCTGCCGTCCCCCTCTCCACGTGTAGCGGAAGCAGAAGGTTAGAGACTGCATTCCGATTGTTTCAACAAAATGTCGTCTCACGTGTAATATTTTTAACTTGTTCGGGTGGATTGATATTTTTAACATTTAACGAAGGTATCTGTCGTTTTTCAACAAGCCCAATGTCCCCGTCCTTTTGTTTTTATACTGATTATAAGTTCGATCTTCTCTAAGTTCGTTTTGAAACACCTTGTGGCTGCAACCTCACCGACGAGTAAGTTGTTTGAAAATTTAAATCTGTCCTGTTTTCTTTGATCACAATTGTGTTTTCAGAACGCGGATGAAGGCTCCATAGAGAATGCCGAAAGCTTGATTTTATCGTCA